AATGATTGAAATAAGATCATGCTACTAGTAATAATAATTTTTAATGAAAAAGAAAAGCAACAAAAAAGAGAGACAGACATAACGCAGAAAAGAAAAGATGGTCTGTAAAAACCTGTTCTGCCATTATTTTCTGGAGAGGCTTTTGGCATGGAATAATACTTTACTATTTGTGTCTGGAAAGAACTGTACAGTTGGTGAGAAAACTTGCTGAATTTTATTTCTGTTTTATCCTGAAAAATCTTTTTATGTATACTTTCAAGCAAATATAGGTACAGTACTGCCTGTCCCTTAAACGTTTTGATCTTGTTTTGCATAGCTGTTTTTATTTTGTGTATGACAGTGGAACTGAAAACAAATAAAGGCGCTTCAGTAGTAAAGACAGATATTTGTAATATATGTAATAGCTGTCTTTCTGGTCCTCTTTGTAAGATGCAGAAATACTAACCCACACACTGTGGGTTTTGGTTGGTGTTTTTTTTTCCAGAGAGCCAATTATGCTATAAAAGCTATACCTAAACTGTGCGATCCAAAAGCATTACCCTTCTCTGTGAGCTATGTGTAGCTTGGATATATTTTTCCTCCTTATCATTCCAGCTCCGGGATGCACACAGTCCCGTTCTTTCCCCGGCTGCATTTGCAAAGCAAGGAGGCAGAGAGGACACAGGGATATGTTTTGGCTGGATTTAAGTGATTGATAGAGACATAGACCTTCAGGCAAGTCTGTGTTGCATAGTTTAGAAATAGCCAGAGAGACTAATGTTTTGTCTAATCAGGTTTTATACTTCTACCTTTAAAAAAAAAAACTAAATGCAATCTTGATACACCTGTTACCAGATCAGCTTTACTGCTACAGCCCTCCTCCTTTTTCTTCTCAATATCCATGAAATTGTTCCAGACTCGCTGTGCGTAACTATACTGATGTGCATTGTTATTGGACTGTGACTATACAAAATGAAGGAGATGATTATCTGTTTTAAATATGCTCAAGTCTGTGGCAGCTACACCTTGTCCCCTGCTCATTTCTTCTACTTATGCAGATGTTCTTGTGCCTTGCAGTGTGGCTTCCTGTTGTGGTGCATGGCTCCAAGTCCTTCTAATGGGGCAGAGTTTCTCTATCATCGAATTATCCGGCCTTTCTTCCTGAAGCACGAAGCTCAGCTCGACAGTGTTGTTAAAGACCTGAAAGACAAGGCTGCAGAGACTGCAGATACCATCACTAAAGAAGGTGAGGAAAAGACCATTCAATAAGCACATCAAGTAGGAGGGTGTCACGTTTTGAGGTCAAAAGACCAGTCTATCAGCTCCCAAGTCAGGCGAGACCCTTGGGCCCGACTCCCCCTGCCCTCTCTTGGCAGCTCAGTGAGTCGGAGGGTGATTCGCCCACTTATTAGGGATCGTCACTAGTAGTACTATGGGCCAGCTCCTTATAATAATTCAAAAGTTTCCGGAAACATGCATATATATTTTATTTGTGACAGAATACAGGTTCGAGGATAGCCGGTGATAGTGACTGACTACAAAAACAACTTTAATTGAAATACTGCAGTGATAATATAAAACGATTACTGATCAGTGATAGTATTAAATATGTAGCAAGATGTTAGTAAGTAAATTTTATTTGTGACAGAATACAGGTTCGAGGATAGCCGGTGATAGTGACTGACTACAAAAACAACTTTAATTGAAATACTGCAGTGATAATATAAAACGATTACTGATCAGTGATAATATTAAATATCTAGCAAGATGTTAGTAAGTAATTAATTAAGTGCTCATAACACAGAGTTCTTACCCAATAGGCGTCCCTATGGGGGGGAGAAGAGAGGTTCAGCCCGTCGACTGATCCCAGACGTTCCGATGGGGGGGCTTCTCCCTAACATCCCCTTTGTTTGCCACCATTTTATACTTTTTTCATATCTTTTAGGTGGAGCTCGAGTGACTCTAGTCATACATAACTTTTATTAGGATTGGTGAAAATTTCTCTCGTGAGGGGTGTTCACGAATTAGGATTGGTGTAAATTGCTCGTTTGAGGGGTGGTCGCAGCTCGGAGGCGGGGGGAGGGGTGGCTTAGTAACTGGAGGACACAATTTCGCCATCACTGCTGAGGCAGCGGTTGTGATTCACTTCCCTCGATGGCATTTTTATGGTTATCTTTACCAGGCGCCTCTCATCCCTGATAACAGGGATGAGCCGTGATACCTCCGTACCACTCTACTCCCCATTTCAAGGGTATTGCGTGGGCCTTGTTCGTTGTTTCTTGTCCCCGATAACAGGGCTGAGCCATGATACTTTCGTATCACTCTCCTCCCCATTTCAAGGATATTGAGGCCTTGTTTGTTCCTGAGAGCAGCAGCTGTGTTTCATGTCAGAGCTGCTCTAATATTAGCTGAATTCTAGGGAACAATGTTCTCCCATTCCCCATCGATTTCAGTCATTTTCCCACAGAGGGATTTCCTTGGGCAACTCTAATATTACAGTTAATATTCGTCATTTTGGAGGAAAGAAATTGTAAGAAGACCATGTAAATTATAATGGAGAAGTTAAATTTGGTTGAAGATGGCAGGATAGCAGTGGATCTTGCTTTCTAGGAGTGCAGTTATGCTAGAATGAGTGCAAGCTATATGAGAGGAAGAAATGGCTAATTTAGTTTGTGTGTCTTCTCACCATACATATTACTATGAACATTCTCTCTAGAGGCAGGTCCAAACATCCTCACAAGACACCTTCCATAAATACAGTTATTGTTTCAGTGTATTCATGCATCTCCTAAAATACCGTCTCAAATACCAGGTAGTGTAGAAGGGCTGCTAATTGTGTGGTAAAGCAAATCCTTTAACTCCAATAAACAGTAATGTGTGAAACAAAGTTTTTCCATCTATAAATTCTTGTACTTTCTTTCCTTGGGAGATCAAAGGATTCTGATCTTACTCTTAAAGAAGTTACTTAGGTTTTTATTTGCTTAGAATAAACGTTATCACAGCCTGTAGATTGCTTAATTTTTGCTTTTATTTCCTTGCATTCTATAGTGCACGTTCGTACTCTGAAATGTCTGATGGTAGTTTAATGAATAAGAGAAGGAAATATATAAGTAGCTAAAACAAGGTTTTTTTTAAATTTCATTGGAAAGGAAATTGGTTTATAAGATAATTCAAAGCACCCGAAGTCTCCTTTCCCCCAAACAACACATACAGTCTCATTTCCTCTTACCAACTTAAGAAGTCTTCCTGTCAGTATTTAAATGTCCCGCCCTTCTCAACTACACTTGGAATTTCGCTGCATGACCCTTCCTGGATTGTTATTGTTAGACAGGTGTCTTGAATAATGTTCTGCCATGTTGCACGTGACATTTTTCTGTCTTTGTTCCATCACTTAGTCTTTTTTTTTTCCTATTTTTACGGATAAAAATTTCCACATATATATTTTTTTTAAGAAGTCATGCACACCCATATGCATGTACACATATACAGACTGCTATTCCAGCTCTGTTTCATCAGCTTGGTATTATATTTCTTGCTTTAAACCTGTATGTCCTAAACACTGTGAGCAGCTCTATTGTATAGCTATAACAGTTGTAAGTTGGTCTGTACTGTTTACTGTGCTGATCCTTGCTTATGGTTTACTTTTTTCAATCTTTATATGATCAGTTTTATCACTATGTCTGTGTGTATGTGTGTACAAAAGCTATTATTTTCTTTTGTGATGTTTCTTTTGTGACCTAAAAGAAAAATTATTTTTTTTTTATGGAGCTCAAGAACACCGAATAAGTCACTTAGTCTGTAGGCCTCTAATATTAAACTTGCTTTTATTTTCCTGCAGCCAAGAAAGCAACAGTGAACTTACTGGGTGAAGAAAAGAAGAGCACTTAAACTATTAACTGGATGAAGTTTCCTTACCACCTCCTTTATGAAGCTTGATGTTATTGGGAACTGTGGTATAAATTTAATAATATTGCCTTGGAAACATTTTGATATATTACAGGAATGTGCTTTAAGTTTGCTTACTACTTTGCTGTGTCTGTATAGAAAGTAAGCATTTTTATTTAAAAGCAATGCAGTGAGCAGCATCTGAAGCTTAATGAAAACATTTTATTCATCTCCATGCAGAAGAAATCTTCCAGTAATCTCTTTCTGCAGTAACATAAATAAAAAGTATATATCCCACAGGCACTGCACTTCAGTTGCCTCTCTGTGTACGTAATTACTCTTAACACTTCGACTGTGGTGCGTCTGGTAACAGGAAGCTATAGTATAAGGAAAATACTGATCTGGAGGGATCTTCTTGAATATAGGGGGAACTATTGTGAGAAATGGCATAATGGATGTATTCCCACCAATAAAGGTGTAAGTGATTTAATGACATGTTCCAGGCACCTGATGATAGAGATTGTTCACTGTTGCATGTTTTCTTGTAGCACAGTATTTGGTACAGTGTGTGTTTTCTTAAATGGAAAGAGTAACTTCATGCTAATACAAGCTTGACCACTTGAATGAAGTAGTTTGCCAGAAATGGATGCATTGAATTGCACAAGACTAGCACAAGATGACTAAAGTACTACTCCTTTCCTCTTCTTGCTAAACAAATTTGTCATCTAAAATTGTTAATAGGGTGCCTTTCAAGATCACACTTAAGAGCACAAACCACCTCTTGCTAAGGAGCGATACCATTACAAACACTTTTTCCTGAAGTCTTGTTGGAATATTAACTGCCTTAGGTGTCAGTCCTGAGAACTACATCATTAATGGGATGGACTACAGTCTCCGTGAGCTTTTTCTGCTCCTAAAAATCTGCAGTCTCTTCTGACTGTACTAAGAGCAACTTTGCATGAGCACTGAAACTTCCTACATAGAAATGCTGTTGTTGTTACTTGGTATATTCCTGACCAGTCAGTAAGAATGCAACCAAAGTTGCTAAGAGAATAAAAGCTTTTTTGCAATCAGTGGAAAAGAATATTATTTTATTTTTTTTTAGATCTGAATCTGTATTTACTTTTTACACTGCAGTATTTTCAACAAATCCAGCATGAATTGTTGAAATCTCCCTGTTCTCATCTCCATGCTGACATTTCTTTAAAGCCTACGGTAATGCTATGACAGTTGTTAACTCAGAACGCACAGAAGGTAAGCTTAAGCTTTTGATAAGTGATTTCTGGTCCACAGTCTTAAATTCCAAAGATTTAATCTTAAAATAGACTTCTGAAGACTTTTTGCTTTCTGCAGCAAGTTGGTATATAAACGTTCACTGTAAATTTTCAGATGTAAGGACTGCAAAAGAACGAAGCACACAGTGCAACTCAGCAGTTTTAAATTTGAGAGATGAGATGTAAAAGTGTCTTAAGGGAAAGCATTTTAAGCTTTAAGCTGGAAAACAGGCCTTGCGGCTGTCAGCTTGCATAGGGAAATGCCAGATGCACTGTGCATCGTTTCCTGTAGGACAGCGTGCAGTTTGTCATTTGAAGGAAAAAATGTAAAATACCACTGCCAGTCATTCCATGACCACTTTTTCTTACGAGTGGATGTGCTGAAGAGGATAAAGTTTACAGCAAAGTTGTAAATGTAAGCGAGTAAAAAGTTTGAAGTGACTCACCATTTAAGTGGTTTAATTTCTTGTCTTATCTTCCTCTGTCTTAAACCCACTGAACTTTTCTGTAAGCCATACTAAACCCTACTGCTGAGTTTTAAACACTGTCATCTGTGTATATAGGTGTCATGTGGCCAGTGCAATTTAGCTTCACCTCTCAAGTAATAGAAAAAGATAATTAATATATTGTCTATTTGATTTAGCTACAAAGTACTGGGTAACTTCTCTAAAAGCTGCTCATAAGTCTTAGACTTTCCAAGCCTAACGAGGTTTGTAGTAGAGACAACTTATTTTTCATTTCTGATACTACTCAACAGTTCTTCCACTGTTATTAATGGGGATAAAACATTTGTAGGTAAGTGTTAAAAAACTACTTTACATCTCTCTTAGAACTTGCTTTAAATCAACTTCTTGTCTTTACAATTTGATGTTTCTTGGATCAGCAGCTAAATTCAGTGCTCCTTTCTCAGATTTCTACTTGAAGTACAACTACTGTCTGTTGTTAACAACTCGATCTTGTTGTTTGCCTTGATGCAAGTAGAAATGATTGAAATTCTGCAGCAAGGTATCCTGTCCTGCAAGTAACTCCACTGGGCTGGCCCCGCACATCAGTGCTCTTCTCAAAGCCTTCACAATGTTTATGTGCAAATTTTGGTACACACATCTGCTCCATGTCTGTGCAGAAGTTGTAATGTGCTGAATAAAAATGGACACAAATAAAGACATTCTTACAGGACTGGTATGATGCCTCAGTGTTTCTTAAGAACCTTATACCTCAAAACTGAAAACCCGATTACTTTAGGAAGGCAGAAGGGTCTTTACAGGGTATTCGCTTTTTTTTACCTGAACTTAATTACTGTGGAACTAGTAGAAACCTCTCGAAAAGCCTGAAGGAAGTACTTCTGCTCCGTGACTGGATCTCAGGGTGCAACTGAGCTGTTCTAGAGCATCAGGCTTTAAGAGGAGCGTTTGGAATACAGATCTATTGTCAACAGCGAGCACCACAAACAGCTGCCTACACAGCGCAGCTTTCCAGGCTTCATAGCCTTGCTTGCCTAAAGAATCATCAAGGTTTAGCGTTCTTCCGAAAGGTAGAGAGGAAAATGGTAAAGTACAGAGATTCCAAAGTATCTTCCTTGACTGTTGATTTTCTAGTGTTCCACAAATGACCTAAAGAAGTAACATGCATATTTATTGGTGGGGTGTGTGTGTGTGCGTACATACACTTAACAGTTCTTTCTGCAATCACTGTAAGTAGGACATTTCTTCTGCTTTATCCTGCATATTTCCAAACTCAGGAAAAAGGGAACCAAGTTCAGAAAAATGTTAGAAAAAATCCCCACAATGATACCATCACCACTAGTGATACTAAAGTGAAATCGCATTCTGCAAACCACATCAAGATAGTTAATAAAGAACAGAAATTCTTTTAAGTAGTGGAAGATGTGGCTAGTATCTATCAGGTCAAACCCTCACAACCTTTTTTAATTTGACAAATTTAAGAAAGTGTCATGAGTTTGCATTCCAGTCTTGTCAGCTCTGTTTTAAATAGTCTGAGAATCAACACTAATTCTTTAGTTGTCTCCCACCCCCATTTCCAACTCAGCCAACAATAACTTCCTCATGCAAAGAAGGAAGAGCAGAGGTTTGAAAAACAAAATCACGTATTCTTGTAGGTCATGAGAGACTCAGTATTTCCTGTGAACTCCATGTTTGGCAACCATGCAAATATAGTGAACATCAGTCTTGTCTTTCCAGAGAACTACATCCAGTGTGATGGAATGAAACAGTACTTGAGGAATAACAACCTACGGCCACTAAGGCAGTCCTTGGTTGTACAACCACATTGACATCACTTTCTGAAGAATAGATTTCCTACAGGTGCAGAACACATTATAATATTCTGGTGAAAAAAATCCTCAGATGACCACATGGACTAATCAAGTAAAAATAATTGAACTTTTTTAATTCAGCATCTTTTGGAAGGACATGTAGTCGATGCCTTTGCTGAGGCTATGGAATGCCACAAAACAAGTAACACTTTACATATCAACCATTTTGTATTATTGCATCCTTGAGGGAGAAGAATTCTTACAGCCTTCAATCAGACATGTGTAAGTTCTGCTATCTGGAAAAAACACACAAGAAAATCCCCCCAAAAAACCCCACACCAAACCCTGCCCCCCCAAACTGGAGAGTTTTTTTGCTGGAGAGAAAAAAAAAACACAAACAAAACAACAACCCAGACAGACACACTGGTTCATAAGGAGTAGCACTACAGTGCACACCATTCCTACCTGGCACTGGTTCATAAGGAGTAGCACTACAGTGCAGGCTACTCAATTCCTACCTGCTGTGTCCCCTGATCTCTCACACATTCCACATTACCCATGATTGTTTCCTCCCATCTCTTGCACCAGCCACTTCTCCCATCCTTTCAGGTCCTTTGGCAAAAGGCAGCTCATTTGGTAGGTATTTTGCCAGATCTAATCTGTGCCTAATGTGCAGCTGCACGTGTGCTGGTTGAACACCAAGCATATTAAATGAAGTTTGGTTGGAGCAAACTGCCAACCAAAAAGCATACACACTCCTTCTCTTCACCTTTCCTTCTCCCAGCGGAAAGTTTCTTCACTGGATGATGCATTACTATAGCCTTATGTCCTAATTTGACCACTTAGATTCATGACTTAAGGGAATGTACTAACTTTGAGATCTCTACTCTTTTTGTCATGTCAACCAAATGACTAAACAGGCCCAAAAGTTAAAATGTAATAAATGAAGACAGTATTTGTATTGTGTGCTTTTTTTCTTTAAGGGAAAGAACACCTGTTTGAAAAGCAAGGTTATTTTGCCAGTAAGTCTCACCTCTGTGCCTGGCAAGATCATGGAGCAGATCCTCCTGGCAACTATGCTAAGGCACATAGAAAATAAGGAGATGACTGGTGACAGCCAACATGGCTTCACTAAGGGCAAATCGTGCCTGACAAATTTGGTGGCCTTCTGCAACAGAGTTACAGCATTGATGGATAAGGGAAGAGCAACTGACATCGTCTACCTGGACTTATCCAAAGCATTTGATACTGTCCTACACAACATCCTTGTCTCTTAACTGGAAAGACATGGTTTTGATGGATGGACCACTCGGTGGATAAGGAATTGGCTGGATGGTCACACTCAAAGAGTTGTGGTCAACAGTTCAATGTCCAAGTGGAGGCCAGTGATGAGTGGTTTTCCTCAGGGGTCAGTACTGGGGCTGATGCTATTCAACATCTTTGTTGGAGACATGGACAGTGGGATCAAGTGCACCCTCAGCAAGTTTGCAGATGACACCAAGTTGTGTGGTGTTGTGGACATGCTGGAGGGAAGGGATGCTATCCAGAGGGACCTTGACAGGCTGGAGAGGTGGGCCTGTAAGAACCTCATGAAGTTCAACAAGGCCAAGTGCAAAGTCCTACACGTGGGTCAAGGCAATCCCAAGCACAAGTACAGGCTGGGCGGAGAATGGATTGAGAGCAGCCCTGAGGAAAAGGACTTGGGAGTGCTGGTGGATGAGAAGCTCAACATGAGCCGGCAATGCGCGCTGGCAGTCCAGAA